TCAGTGCCGACGTTAGTCTGCTGATTGGAGTGAATGTTCCCAAAGCCTTAGAACCGCTGAAGGTCATTAACAGCCAAGACAAGGGGCCGTACGCTGTCCTAACACACCTGGGTTGGATAGTGAATGGACCTCTGGGTACTAGCCCACCCTTAGACCAACATGGCCGACCACAGATAACATCCAACAGAATATCAGTGGCTCGTCTGGAAGAACTCTTGGTCCGACAATACAATCAAGATTTCTCAGAATTGGCACACCAAGAGAAAGCAGAACACTCTGTTGAAGATAAAAGATTTCTTAAAATAATGAATGAATCCATCACAAAGAAAGAAGGTCACTATGAATTACGACTGCCGTTCCGCAGAGATGACCTTCATCTGCCGAACAATAGGAAAATGGCTGAACAAAGAGCTCTAGGTCTCAACAGAAGACTAGAGAAAGACCAGTCATTTAAAAATGATTACGTCAACTTCATGAATGATGTTTTCAATAAAGGGTTTGCAGAAATGGTACCTGAAGAACAGCTCCTCCGGATGGATGGAAGACTTTGGTACATCCCACACCACGGGGTCTATCACAAACAGAAAAAATCTATCCGTGTGGTCTTCGACTGTACATCTTCATTTCAAGGTACGTCTTTGAACTCCGAGTTACTGCAAGGCCCAGACCTTACGAACACCTTATTGGGTGTACTCCTTCGTTTCCGACAGGAATCAGTGGCAGTGATGGGGGACATAGAGGGAATGTTCCACCAAGTCAGAATTCCTGAAAATGATGTGGACTTTCTGAGATTCTTATGGTGGCCAGATGGTAACACTAACCAACCACTCAGAGAATTCAGAATGGTCGTGCATTTGTTCGGAGCAGTTTCCTCCCCAAGCTGCGCAAACTTTGCACTCCGACAGACAGCTGAGGATAATAAGAATAAAGCAGACACTTCCGTTCTTGCCACCATCAGACACAACTTTTATGTGGATGATTGTCTTAAATCAGTTCCAGATGCAAGCAAAGCCATCACTTTGGTCCATGACCTGACGGCAGTATGCGCCACAGGTGGATTTAAGCTTACCAAATGGACTAGTAACAGCCGTGCTGTCCTAGCCTCACTACCTTCAGAGGAACGGGCCAAAGACATTAAGAACATTGACTTGGAGAGAGACAAACTTCCAGCGGAACGTGCCCTTGGCATGCGATGGGACATCGAATCTGACACATTCTTCTTTAATATCACTCTGAAAGAACAACCACATAATAGAAGAGGAATTCTGTCTGTGCTTAATTCAGTTTACGATCCCCTGGGATTCTTATCACCAGTTATGCTGTCTGGAAAAAAGATCCTCCAAGAGTTATGCAAGATGAATTGCGGATGGGACGAAGAAATCCCAACAGCTCTTGCATTTAAATGGAAGGAGTGGCTGAAAGAACTTCAGATGATTTCCAGCTTCAGAATTGGAAGATGCTACAAACCAGCTGGTTTTGAAGTCACAAGCGCTCAACTGCACCATTTTTGCGATGCTAGTGAGAGTGGCTATGGGACAGTAAGTTACCTGCGACTGACCAGCAGATGTGGACCTCCTCACATTGCCTTTGTGATGGGGAAAGCAAGAGTGGCTCCTTTAAAGGTAGTGACTATTCCCAGACTGGAGCTGACATCAGCAGTTCTAGCTGCTCGGATAGATCGAATGCTGACGAATGAACTGGAGTTTGAGATGATAGACTCTGTGTTTTGGACTGATAGCACATCTGTTCTCAAATACATCATAAGTGACACACAGAGATTCAAGACCTTTGTGGCTAACAGAGTAACGGTCATCAGAGACCTGACACAGAAGTCACAATGGCGTCACATTGGAACTGATCTTAATCCAGCGGACAAAGCATCCAGAGGAATGTGGGCAGAGACCTTTCTAAAAGGCACAAGTTGGATAGAAGCCCCAGACTTTCTGTTTGAATCCGAAGTAGCCTGGCCGAAGCTCATCATGGACCCTCTAGAGTTGTCTATCAGTGACCCAGAGGTAAAGCAAGCTGCCGTGACTCTTGCCACAGCAGCCTATGAGAGTCCTCTAATTCGTTTCATAGAGTACTTCTCAGAATGGAACAAACTCCTCAGATCTGCAGCCTTGCTACTGAAGTTCAAGAAGCATCTGATCCAAAAGAGGAAGACAAGTGTCACATTAAATCTGTCAATAAAACCAGATCCTGCAGACCGACAGTTGTCAGTAAAAGATCTCAGCGCTGCTGAGGAGGCTCTTACGTCTTTCATTCAACAGCACTCTTTTGGAGAGGAAGTATATGCTTTACAGAAGGGCCAAGCTGTGAAGAGAAGCAGTCGACTCTACAAGTTAGATCCTGTTCTTCAGAATGGAATTCTGAGAGTTGGTGGCAGGCTGAGCAGACTGGCTATGCCTGAAGAGATCAAGCACCCGGCAATCTTGCCTAATGACAGCCACCTGTCAACATTACTGTTGCGCCACACTCACAAATTAGTAGGACACTGTGGAAAGAATCAAATGCTCTCGAAACTAAGAACAAAATACTGGATCCCAAAAGCCAATTCGGCAGCAAGGAGAATAACCCGTGACTGCACACTCTGCAAACGATGGCATGGAGCGGCTATGACGCAGAAGATGGCGGACTTGCCTTTGGTGCGAGTAACCCCAGATCTGCCCCCCTTTACCCACACGGGCTTGGACTACTTTGGGCCCATAGAAGTTAAGAGGGGCCGTAGTCGAGTGAAGAGGTACGGCGCTCTGTTTACATGTCTTGCCAGCAGAGCTGTACATTTAGAGATGGCCTACTCCCTCAATACAGATTCCTGTATTTCAGTCATCCGCAGATTTGTCTGCAGACGAGGCCAAGTAAAAGAGATTCTGTCTGACAATGGAACCAATTTCGTGGGAACAGAGCGGGAACTGAGGGAAGCTCTGGCTCAGCTGGACCATAGTAAAATACAGAATCAGATGCGTACAGAAGGAATTAAATGGACATTCAACCCACCTTACGGCTCTCATCACGGAGGTGTGTGGGAGCGCCTCATACGGATCATCAAGAAAGCACTCTACTCCGTGATCAAAGAACAGACCTTGGACGACGAATGTCTTCAAACCACCCTCTGTGAAGTGGAGGCTATTCTCAATGCACGTCCAATAACAGTAACATCTGAAGATCCGACAGATCCTGAACCTCTTACTCCGAACCATCTACTACTGCTTAAAGCAAAGCCCATCCTTCCACCGGGGCTCTTTAACAAGCAGGACTGCTACGCTAGGAGAAGATGGAAGCAGGTTCAGTTCCTCTCAGATCTCTTCTGGAAGAGATGGACACGTGAATACCTCTCACTGATGCAGGAGAGACAAAGATGGAACGAAGTAAAAAGAAATCTAAAATCTGATGACATTGTCCTCATCATTGATGACACATCACCCCGAAATTCCTGGCCGATGGGACGTGTAATAGAAACTTTCCCTGACGCAAAAGGATTTGTACGTCGTGTCAAAGTCAAGACTCAGACTGGTGTTCTAGAAAGGCCAATCACAAAGCTTTGCCTCCTCAGAGACATGGCCTGACTGACCGTTCCTTATTGACCAGTACACTCATACACTTTACTGACCATAGAAAAGTTTATTGAATTAAGCTTTCATGTTTTCTATGTACTATGTAAAGGTATTGATTGAGTGAATGGCCCGATATGCGAAAAAAATTGAACCGTCTTGAATATCTGAAAATATGACTAAAAACACTCTGACTATGGCGTTGACTGTATGTTGTCTTATGGACTAAATGAACTTAATTCTTGAATTTTTTGGAAATCCTTTGATTTTCTTTTGAAAGGACTACTTTTTATTTATGAATGATTTATTTATGAATGATTTATGAATACATAAAGGGACTTAATGTGAAAAAAAGAAAAAAAAGGATGAAATGTGAAAGACTTTATTTGAATGCTCTTTTGAAATGCGCGGCTCCTTGTGAATGTATGTGTTTAATTGCCATAGTATGATCAATTAGGGGCCGGAATGTTGGAGCCGTTTTGCATCTCTTTTGTTGTTTTTTTTTGTTTTTTGTTTTCTGAATTTATTATGAACTTTTTGGCATTCTAATTCTCCTGATTTAGTTTTGAATCATTAGTTGGAAATATGTCTGTTTTCATTCTGATTTGTTTATATGCTCTCTTCCTGTCTGTGGGCGTGACGTTGAGCTGATTTGATTAATAGGTGTTGTCACCTGCCGCTCAGGTAGAGTGGAAGGGACAAACAGTTTTTCAACCGCGTGATGCGGGAGCGTTTTTTTTTTGTACGTTAGTGAAAGACAAATAAATGCCTCTATTTTTCGAAGACGCGCGTTGGATCTGATCTATATCCACTCTGAAGTGGTGGCTCCGAAGTTGCCACTACAATTCTTGTGATGTTACGACTTCATTCTAGTAACGTTACGACCTCATTCTAGTAACGTTACGACTTCATTCTTGTGATGTTACGACTTCATTCTAGTAACGTTACGACTTCATTCTAGTAACGTTACGACTTCATTCTCTTAATGTTACGACTTCATTCTCTAAATGTTACGACTTCATTCTCGTAATGTTACGACTTCATCCTCTTAATGTTACGAATTCATCCTCTTAATGTTACGAATTCCTTCTCGTAATGTTCTGACTTTATTTAAAACAAAAAAAAAAGAACATTCTCTAGCCTTGCCCTAATAATCTGGTTTATGGGTCTCTCTGTGAAACTGAAGCTTTACAGTAAGTATCGGTAGCTTTAAAACTTCACATCGGGCAGCAGAAGCAGCATGAAAAACACACACAAACAGTGGCGGCATGATGGTGGTTTGTGCTGCATAGAGACGTGTGGATGAAACTGTGGAAAAGGACGAGAAGCCTTCCTCCTTGCTGCCGTCTCACATCTTAATCGCCTTTGTTAACAGAGAGGCTGAGCATCAAAAGATGTGGAGACGAGCAGAAGAAGGCTTCCAGTTTCTGAGACTGAGAGGGAACTTACTGAGTCTGAGTTTCATCATCATCATCTGCACCATCATCATCCTCATCATCCCCTAAGTGTGCAACATGGCCCCTGGGAGAGGAGGGGAAGACAGGAGGGGACGATTGGAGGGGAGGAAGAAGGAGGGGTAGATTTTTGTCACGGTGGGAAGAGAGTAATGGGGGGGGCAAGCAAATAGGGATGGGAGATGACAACAGGGGGAGAGGGAGGAAACGGGATCAAGGCAAAGGGAGGGGAGGGAGAGCTGAGTAAAGCTCGGTTCATAAACTATCTCTTACATTCAAAGACTAAAAGGACTGAAGCGTCAAAGTCCAACAAAAACAACACAGAAACCCTTCAGGTTAAATAAAATCCTGACACTTCTTCACAAGCTACAATCTACTTCTTGTTACCTGGTCCGTCATTAACAGAACTCTTATTTCCTCTTATTGGATCATTTAGATAACCTGCCTCCTCACATGCAGATAAATTTGTTGGCACATCTGCTAAAGATGAATAAAAACAATCTGGAGATAAATGAAACTTATGTGGTGTTTCGTTAAAACAATAATAATTAAAAAAAAAACTTCTGAGGAAATTTGCAAACATGTTTTAAATCACTTTTTCTGCTGCAGGAACTAATGATGGAAAATTAATGGCAGATCTTCATCTTAAATGTTCTTGTACCTTAAAATTCACCTGATTCTACACACAGGTTCCAAGAGGCTTTTAAAAGAGAAACAGACCCACAGCATCACAGATCTTCTATCGTGTCTCTACCATGGCGGCATTTTGATGCATGCATTTCTGCAAATTTGTTGTATTTTTTGGGCCAATCTCACCTGCAGCGTTTATTGCCGAAAAGCTCAAGCTCAGTTTTATCTGACCAAACAAGATGAATCCAGTTAAACGCTCTGGGAAGTTTATATTATATTATATATTATATTCTCCCCAAACAACTGACTGGTATCACATTAGCGTCTAATGGTTGCAAGATAAAAGCAATTATTTAATTGAATGTATTCAAGAATGATTTCGAAGAGTATTGACAATTATAACAACTGCAAATTTTATTTTCTCAGGTGAACAGAAATACTTGAAAAAAATAAATAAAAGCAAACAGATTTTAATGACGTAATGTTAAAGCAATAAAATATAATTATTGTTTAAGATTCTTATTTTGGACAAATATTTAAAGAGGTGCCAACAACTTTATTTACATCTGACAGTACAGGAATTCTTATCAATAAAATACAATTCTAACTACTGTTTGTCACAACCATTTTTAAAGTCCTAAAATGTTGATTACTAAACTTTCTAACCTGCTCTGAGCCTTACTGTACATGAATTTGGGAAGAATAATAATAAAATAGCCTAATTCTAATCGGGTCACACAGAAATAGGATTTTAGTCAGAATTCAGGTTATCTGATTTCTGAAATATTTTTCCTGCAAACAGAAAAATGCAAGAAGCTAAATAATAAAACAGTTGTTTTTTGAGTTCCTGAAATGTCTCTCAGCTGGATTCCTGCCCAGTACAGATGTACATGTAAACATAATCTTTTGATTTCTTTCATTGCTTAATATCCGCTGATGTCCAAAAGAATAAAGCTTCATTTAGAAGGAAAACATGTTGGGAAACGGTCTAAATGTCTTCTCCACTGTTAGATAGGACATGTGGCCAAACTTCCTGCTAGCTGACTGTTCTCTCCTAGGAATGTAACAACTCTTTCCAGATTTATTATATAGATAATGAATGACTTCTACTTGAACTGCATCTTTATAAAGATGCTAGTTTTGTTTTTATGTAATGCTTTCCTACTGTTTAAATAGTACAAATATATATTTTTATAGGCCGATTTTCCCTAATAAAGGCTACAAAAGCCTAAATATCCCTACATATAAGGATTAACCTGAAGCATAATACAATAAAGTGAGACAAAATGATGGAATTATCAAGCTCCAAACAAGAAAAACAGATTTTTTTCAAAGATGCCGTAAACATGTAAATATTTTAAAGGCTGCCAGAAGCACCGTTTTCTCCTGCAGGTCCCAAAAGGAAAGAAAACAGACAAAAACCAAGCATCAACTAGAAACCTGGATCTTACTTTTAACAGGACGACCTCTCAGACGGTCGACAAACACATAGACATCAATAATCATCATATATCGTAGGCAAATTGGAATTTCTGCAGGGATTTGCCTGTATTGTTTGGCTGAATTAAGTCAGTTTTTTGTTTAAATGTTTTTCTCAATGTATGTATCTGAATGAGTGTGTGGGGTGTGGGTGTGTGTGTGTGTGTGTGTGAGCCATGCTCTCTGCAAGAAGCTCCTAAGAAGCTCAGCGTTTTCAATTCGAAGCAGAAAGCAAGCCAAAGAGGGAAAAAAACGGGAAAGAAGAACCTAGAAGGTGAAAGCTGTGACAGCCTGAAGTCACTACTATGACAGCATTAGTCGCCTGTTATTGGCATAATTAGTGCTGCTGTTAAATGATTGGCTGATGATTGGATGCAGTTAAAACACAGTTCGGTTTGACCGGAGCTGACTTACCTCTGCTGAAGCTCCTCCTCGACAGACTTCAGAAGACTCCTGTTTGACACACAGATAGAAATCACAAAGAGTTAAGAGTGCGATAATAGATCTGTGTGTTCCAGATCTGCCTGCAGCTAGTCTAAAATACAGCAGCCTGTCTTTATAGCGAGACACCAAGACCAACTTTTATTCTCTTAATCAGAAACTTCTCCTCTTTACCAATATGAGTGGGACGGAGATCTTTAAATCCATGAACCTTAGAAGTAAAAAGGTCAAGGGTGTAGATTAAGCTAAGGAATAATCCAGACTCCCTAATCTTAATGTTTTGACTAGTCTATGGATGAAAGACTAAATAATGTATAGAAAGGTTAAAAACAAAAAAGCTAGAGAACAAAAATAATTTCTTACTTGTTTCCTCCAAGCAGACTTGGTGAATCATGGCCATACTCCAAATGCAAGTCCTAAAAGAAAGAAATCATACTTCTTTACTACATATTGCTTGTTTCCTTATGAAAAACAAAACAACAGAAAAACTTGTAAAAGCAGCGGTAACAGCGCTGCTTCTTCTAGGCCTCCTGGAGGACAAACAGCTTGGATATGGAAGGTTTGAAGCCTCAGATTTTTGAGAAACTAAGCCTAAACATTTGGGATTTATTTTCTTATCCTTCCAATAAAAAACAAATAAATCCCAACTAATAAATAATACTAAAATCATAAAAAAAAGGGACCAATTTAAGCTGTAGAGATTCATTTTTTAATTTCTAAATATGGACTACAGCAGTTTATAATAAAGTAAAATAGATTGTGAATTGCTAAAAAACATTTCGATGATGCACTTAACAAAAGGACAAATGCTAAATAATTGAGTATTAAGGCGTTACATTCTTTTTTTTATTACGAGAATAAAGGTCAAAATAATAATTCTGAGAATAAAGCTGTAATACTGTGGCATGATGTGGAAATAACATTAATATTACAAAAATAAAGTTGATTTCATGAGAAAAAAGTTTGATAGAGTTTTCAAGGACTAACATTAGCTCAACTAAACAGCAGCTGAAGCAAACACAGGGAAGATTGCTCTTTCTTCTTATTAAAATACTTATTTACTCTGGTAATAAACCTTTTAACCATCAGTCCGATAATATAAAATCATGCCTAATTTAAAAAAAAAGAAAGAAAGGGTTACCCAAATTAGATGCTGTTCTTGAACCCTTTTAAGAAGATGCAAAAGCTTTGTTGTCTTTGTAAAGGTTAATTTAATTCACTTTAATTCTCTCAATGAGCAGTCCAATTGGGTCAACTGCTAATCGGTTTGTGGCTATTAAAAAGTAGAACTATGATGCTTAGAAGTCAGAAACATGTTCCATGAGGACACTGGGGTCCGCATGACAACTAAGCAGTTAATCTGGCCTAAAATTATGACGTATTGTTATATTATGACTAAGGCTGAAACAATTAATCGGATTAATCGATTATTTAAATAATCGTCAACTAATTTAGTAATCTATTAATTGTTAAATGGATTATAGAGACTCTAAAACATGCCTTTAGCTGATAGAGCAACCCATTTAGAACAGTAATTATACCAAAAATATTTTCCATTTAAGATAAAACCCCCCACTTTTTTGTCTATCAATATGCTCTATTCAGGACTCCACAAGTGGATACGTTTTTGTTTTCAACTGGTTTAATTCTATAAAAAAAATCTTAAAGGATCCTTTCGCCATCTGGTTATTGATTGAATTATTGTAAATAAATAAAAAAATCAGTTAATTAGTATGGCCCTTATATCATGCCATAAAAAGTTTCACCATCGACGTTCTGCATATATTAAGGGCTATTTACTGAATACCACAAGCTGAAGTAAAAACATTTTTAGTTTTTTTAGTAAAAAATAAGAAAGGCTCCTAAAACTTTATATAGGATTTTTATACAACATGGATGATACCTGATAAGTGCTTTACTAAAATATAAGACTATTTTAAAGTACTTTAAATATGCTAAGTCAGGTAATGGGATGCTTTAACTCTAAATGCCAGTAGTTCAATCTGGTTTCATACTGAGTTTTTCTGAAAGTATTATTGTCCTTTTGGTGTTTCAAGCTTTGTTTTAGCTCAGTTTGTTAGAAAATAAAGCTCTCTGTGGATATTCAAAATAACATTGAAGGTGTGTTACAGCGCATCACTTTGCCCGGTGCTAAACACCATCAGGATGAACGCTAGGAGTATATAACCGTATTTTATCACAATTAAATGGTTTTCCTTTTTTTATTTTTTTGGCATAACATAACTATGGACCTATTTTAATTATAATAAAAAAATTTTAAGCTTAGAAGAAGTGATGTGTTCTGTACTAGATAACAAAAAGTAACTGACAGTTGAAGCATCAGGAAGCTGGTAAACATCAGTCAAAGGATTTATTTTTAAATCCCCTTCATCGACTGCTGTGCATTGAACATAAATAAAAAGCCAGGCTTTAAATCTGTTATGTAAAGCCACAAACAGCGTTATTGTGTCACACAAACGAGTCGAAGAGAGAGAGAAACAGGCATGCAACAGGAAAGGACATGACATAAAGAAAATAGAAGAATACAGTTTGGGTGGTTGTAGTCAACTACAGCAGACTGTTAGAAAACAAATGTCAGGTTAGGACACAAAAAATAAAAGACTGTAAAGAAACAGATCAGATTTAGTGAAGAAAAAAAACAGTTCAACACAACAAACACACATGGTTTCAGCTAAAGTACCGTATAAGGGTGCTACCAGTTATTTCCACAGTTCCAGCTAACCATTTGAATTTGACCTCAAACCTTCCTCTGTACAATTGTATGTTTTTTTTTTATGTACTTTTTATACACAGCATGACAACAGAACCAAAATAACAGCAACCATTTGACAGTAACACCTAAAGCACCAGTTAGTGAAGCAAAGACAGCCAGAAGGAGGAGAAGAGAGAAACACAGATGGATGAACCGTCATGGTGAGAAGGCACAAAGCCTTTTCCTCATTTTTCTCACACTGCAACCAAAAACCTAAATCAATTCCAACATTTTTCGGGATTCTGTGCCACAGACCAACATAAAGGAGGAAACAAAACATGAAAGGCGATTTTTAAACTTTCTTTAGACGAAAATCAAGCAGTGATGCTCAGCCTCCTTTGCTAATCAATATAAATGGATCTGTTCTGTAAAGGTCCCCTGGGGTGCATTAGTTACCGTATTTTCACGACTATAAGGCGCACTTAAACGTCTTTTTTTCCCCCTCAAAATGTGCAGTGCGCCCTATGGTGCGGTGCGCCCTATGTGTGTTGTAACTGCGACTTTTGAGACCACCTCATTGAGGAGATGATGAAAGAGTGGCTGAATGTAAGGAGACCAGGTGTTTTTTTTTCCACCCCTCACAATCGCTGTTAATATGTAACTCCATGCGTGCCCATCTCACAGCTGATGTGAAAAACATGGGGAAACAAATTAACGCTGTGCTCGCTGTTCAACCGCTCGACATCGGTGTGAACCGGACCCAGCAAGTGCAGCAGAAGCAGCGAGTTTACATGCAAAGTCAATGGTTGACGCGCGTATAGGTGCAGCAAAAGGTCCTGCAGCGCGTTTTGAGCTGCAGGTGCAGCACGTCGGGATCGTTTAAGCATCTGACGCACCGCCAACGCGCTGCTGCTGCTCCAGATGGAAAATTTTAAGTTTTGCTGCTGGACGCGCCGCATCAACCAATCAGAGAAGCTGATCTGGGAGCTGACAGCTAGACAGACACAGCGCTCTGATGAAAGAGGAGATGATGAAAGCGTGGCTGAGGCAGGTGTATGTGAGGAGACCAGGTGCTTTTTTCCACGCATCACCATCGCTGCGTGCCCATCTCACAGCCGATGTGAAAAAAAAGGTGAATCAATGAACGCTGTGCTCGCTGTTATCCCGGGAGGTCTGACAAAGGAACTTCAACCGCCCAACATCGGTGTGAAGCGCCCGTTCAAAGTAAGGCTGCGAGCGGCGTGGGAGTGATGGATGACAGACGGAGACCACGGTTTCAGGATAATGGGAAGGCAGCGCCGGGCAGATTACGCCACCGTTTGCGGATGGATTGTAGATGCTTGGAATAACGTGTCTGCTGGCTCTGTTGTTCAAGCTTTTGCAAAAGCCGGCATTATTTCTGAGGAGCTGCGCTGCACGGAAATTGACTGACAGCGCAGAAGGGGAAACTGTCATGTCTGATTTAGCGCAGCTGTTTTATTCAGAAACAGAGGATGATGACTTTGATGGGTTTGATTAATACTTTGTAATAAATACATGAATAAAGCACAATCATACTCCTCCGCGTCTCCTCCTCTTCACCGCGGCGGCTGGCAGGTGTTTTTTCATCTAAATAATCTAAATCTTGCAGCTATATTTGCTGTGATCAGTGGGAATAAAGTAGTTTTAATATGTTTTTAAGTGAGAAAGTCCACCTGAAAACGTAATAATTGCAGTCAGTTCATCCAGATTATCTATTTCTGTCGGAGGCGCTCAGACCCCCACATACCAGCGGTGCACCGACAGTAGAAATCCTTTCGATCACCGCGGCTGCTGGCAGGTGTTTTTCATCTAAATAATTTAAACTGCAGGCACCAGGATACCGGCAATAAAAGCGAACATATTCTGTCGGCAGGTTTCAGGATTTTAAGTTAATTTAGGAGTGATCACAGCGCTGTGTCATCTGCGATGTTGGTCTGTCTCACGGCCAGCTGCCAGGTTTGATTAATACTTTGTAATAAATACATGAATAAAGCACAATCATACTCATTTTTGCCCCCGCTGTATTTTTAAATACGCAGTAGAGGTATTTAAAGGTAGTAGAGGACATGCACCTGTATATAAAAAACGCGCCCTATAGTCCGGTGCGCCTTATGTGTGTGTTAAATACAGAAATGGGACACATAACTGAGACTGCGCCTTTTAGTCCGGTGCGCCTTATGGTCGTGAAAATACGGTAAACAGAATAACGGAGACCAATGATCACAGCAGCTGAATGTGAAAAGTTGAGAAATTTAAAACGATTAAGGTTGACAAAAGTATTCGCACCCTAAAAAGTATAAACATTCGTCTGGATACAATGCTAATTTGGCATGTTATCAATAAAAAAAATGTTTACATACTTTGCATATTCTTAATTTTAGATATCTTGATAATTTCCACAATCAAAGAATAACATCTGAAACAACCTTAAAATATCATCAAATTTTGATTATTTATTTTGCACATTCATTTAACTAGCATCTGTGATTCTGTAGAGAAATTATTCTGTTTTTAAATGGTAATAAACAAATTTTTATACCTTTAATTACTTGGCTTTTTTTTTTTATTCCTATAGTATCAAAAATTGTTTCAATATCACATTTTAGAATTTTGTATTGTGAAAACCCTAAAAGCAAGAAAAGGGTAAAAATTATAACCCACACTGGGAACAAGTCACAGGACTCATTGAATATCATTTAACAATTACGTTTTCCTTAAAGGAAGAGCGAGGGGAGCATTAATCAGACCAAGAGGTCTACTCTGGATGAGCTTCAGAGATTCATGGCTCAGGAGGGAAAATCTGCCGATAGGAGAATTACTATATGTACCTTTGACAAAGTGGCAACGACAGTTGGGGAAAAAAGCTTGTTGGGCTTAGTTATTTAGATCAGATGGTAGCAAAGCTAACTTCTTAACCTGCAGGGAAAATGCTAAAGATAACAACACTAATTATATAACCCTAAACCGCCCATCTCTATCAGAAAAAAACGCTGGCTGCAGTGGATAGTCAGGCATGCCCAGAAAAAATCCGATTGATAATATCTAGAGAAAAAAGGCAAAAGGTTTCAGTCTTTAGATCAGCCAAGCTGATGGAAACAGAAGGTGATTCTACTAACCTATCAGGTTGTTTGGAAATATCACACAAAACCTCAACAAAAACATTAAAGGTTTTTGATTGTAATGTGAATAAAAATGTGGAAAACTTTAAGTGGCATGAATAGCTTTGCAAAGTACTGTCAAAACATTTCTAACAGTGGCAAAAAGTGCATTCTGACTGAACAGAATAAGAAAGAGCAAAGCGTGGAGAACAAAGAAACTCAAACATAAGCAGGACAAGGACTTGTCCTTTGATAACAGATTATGGAGAACAACATGGAACGGACGAAAGAGGCGGAAACGGAGATTATAGATAAAAACTATGAGGAGAAAAGGAAGAGCCAGCTAATATACAGATAGACGATGACGAATAATGGGAGAGACAGAGGGAGTACTACCAGATTAGATCTCGCGGTATAGTAGAGCTCCTCAACACAGTCCAGATAGGGCTCAGAATCACACTGGTCAGCAAGACAGAGCGAGAGAGACCTCAGTTAATACATTAACTTGGACTTATATAACAGGAAGGAAAAGAGGCATGGGGGTGAGAGAGAGGATGAATGAGTAAAAAGTTATGTCTAAAAACCAGAGCTAGAAAGTCAAAGGGGGGCAGGGCAGGTTGGATAGGGTAAAGGAAAGGAGTAAAGAAATATGTGAGGATGCAATGTAATAACCCCAAAATCCAAAAAAGGAAAAAGAATTAAGAAACAGTTAAGTAACATTTCCTTGCATTAATAAAATCCCAAACGCATCTAAAGACAAATAAAATATCTGTATTACATCAGTTAGGAATCTTTATGCTTATCCTTTAATTAGAAGTACCTGGAGCTGAAAAAAAAAAAAAAAAAAGCAGCTATGAGTCATGATGAGGTCAAACACGACCCTCCGCTGTTTTATTGTTCTGTGTTATAATTAGAACTAAATTAATCGGAATTTTATCGGAAATTTAAACTGGTCTTAGTGGAATGCACTGACCGGATTCTATAGTCTTGAATTAGAATTGAACTGGTTTGTTTAACAAAGCCTTTAAATGACTTTTGTTATGAAAAAAATAAACTGATAAATGCTTCATGGTGCTGCCAATAACTTTGTTTATAAATAAAAACACTATCCTTTGTTAAAGTACAGAAAAAGGTAATGGATGATTGACTCTGAAACGGTCTAAAAAGGTCTGCTGAGTGAAACATAAAAGTCAGTGAGGGGAGAAAATAAATTAAAAAAAAGCTTTGTTATAACTAGGGCTGCAACAACGAATCGATAAAATCGATAAAAATCGACTTTTAAAAGCGTTGGCAACGAATTTAATCATCGATTAGTTGTGTCGCGCGATTAATGCGTCATCCGCCGCCGCCGTCATCCGGGGGAAGAAAAAAAAATATGGCGGAGCGAGTCAGCGCCGCAGTTGCAGTGTTGCCAACTCAGCGACTTTTCAGACCCCTCCAGCGACTATTTTTCAAAAAAGCGACTGGCGACAAATCTGGCGACTTTTTACGGTGTCACTGGCGGCTTTTGCCTGCCGTGGGGCGCCTCCCCCATCCCAACCCCTTTCTCCCTCTCCCACAGGAATCCCTCTCAGCGCGGCAGTCAGAGTCAGAGCCGCAGGATTTTAGTGAGGAGTTTACCCTCAGCGTCCAGACTGCAAATGAAGCGCGCCGGGATTGACGGCGCAAATTGATCACAATAATTAAAATAGCCTGCGCTTTGTAAAGTGAAAAAAGTCGTAACATGCAACTTTTGTAAAAACAAATGACCATGGCACGGAAGCACCACTGTTATGACGCAGCACCTGAAAAGAAAACACGTTGGAGCCTTCAATGGCAGTGAAGAGAGCTGATCAGCAGGATGAGTAACCATGTTTGTTTCATTTTAAAGAGGGGAAACGTTACGTTAGTTTCTCAGGTAGCTCATCTGATGCTTTCCTTACCTTGTTAGTAGGTTACAGACAGTGATAAGGTTGGCTACTTATTTTACTTTTAATTTCATTTAAATTTGTTTAAGCAGCGTTTATATTTTCTTTATAAATAAATTAACTTGCAAATTATGAGGGCAAGGCTTTTAAAGTTTAAATCTTCTGGCAAAGATAAAGAAAAGAAGATCCTGCAATTTATGGAAGTAAAGCAGAACAAAATCCAGCAAGATCAGTAATATGTCAATTAATTATCTGCCACATTCCCATGTAAATATCAATTCAACGTTCATAAGTTACATACAGCTTATGAACGTTGCATTGATATTTGAAATATCAATGCAACGTTCATAAGCTGTATGTAACGCAATTTCGTTCTGTATGCACCCTGTGCATACAAAATGACAAATAAAGAAGTCTAAGTCTAAGTCTAAATATCTGTCTTTGGAGGATGTGTTTTTTTACCACCCCTAGTTCTCTCATTTTTATTCCAAATACAATTTATAATTAGAATCACAGGGCTATTTTTATCTCTATGGTTCAGTATTTTCTCAAGTAGCAACTTTAACTGCTATACTTTCCTGTCTTAAAAGGCAGAACTCTTCTAGTCTAAAAAAACTAATTTGTTGAAATGGGGGGACCTATTGTTTGAACCCCTTAGGGGCTTTAAAAAACAAAAATGCCTGTCTCTTTTTGCGCTTTATGAAACAAAGTAGCCTATATTTTGTGGATGTACAGCTACATTTCTCATGTAAGTTTGCGTAGTTTTTACACAAACATTTATTTTTTCATATTACACCAGTACAGTTAATGAGCAACCTGTACTTGTGTGCTTGTTTGTTCTGTCTAAAATGTTTATTTTGGAATAAAGAGGTTAATATAAAAAAATTTTTTTGTCCGATTCATCGATTAATCGAAAAAATAATCGGCCGATTCATCGATTTTTAAAATAATCGTTAGTTGCAGCCCTAGTTATAACTGAATCGTAGATGGGAAACGCATAGATGTGAAAAGCAAGTTAATAAAATTTTAATGAATGTTGTACCCAGGGATTTATGTTTAACTTTTATTATGGGTGAAACTGCACAGAGGAAGGAAAAAGGTAAAGGTTTGACTCATTTCAGCTTGACCGTTGTTTTTTGGGCCAACTAACACAGAACGGATAGTGAAAAACATACAATATGAGGAGCGAACATGTGGAACGGGTGACTGACTACATCTATCTATTAAATTTATCCACTAACAGCGAGAAAAAACAACCATTTAACCAAGTCTAAAACCACTAACTAGAATCAGCAGGTATTTTGCAGCATTTTATTTATTGTTTTTTTTTTTTTTATAAATTTGGTCTCCAACCCTTTAATCTAAATGCACTATTTAAATGTATTTATGTGCATCAGCTCCAGAGATGGTTTAGTTTCACTACAGGACAGACTCGGATGTCTACAACGTTTAAACGCAGCAGATAAAGTGGTAGTTAGTCAGGTTTAAGGGTAACCAAACTAGCAATGGACATGATTCTACAGGTTTTCAGCTTTAAATGAAACACTCCTAATCAAGGTGTGGTGTTAAATCTATATCTGAATCTCAGAAGGGATTCCTAAATACACAGAAGACAACACAGCAATGTGATTCTCTCCTCCCTCTTAGAGGAGGTTCTGTTTTTATGAAGAAGCTGTGGACTCCACATTAACACAAATTAATTTAAGGTGGTTATACCCCTCCCACTGAATATCTGCCAACACAAGACGCAGAAGAAGACCTTTCAGAGAGAGCTCAGTTAGTGGAAACTATTCCTGTTGTCTAACCACCCCCAATGCAAAATCTAAAAGACATTAAAAACATTATATATTTTTTTTTTAAATCACATGAATCTAACTTACCAACATCATTTAATCATCCATACTACCTTAACTAGTAAATTACTTACAAACAAATTAACTCTTCTTACTTGAACATATTAATTATGCTTGCTTGCTTTCCTTTCCACTGAGCCAAACATTTTTTTTTACTTTATTAACCTCAATAACCTTACTGAAACAACCAACCCTACACAGAACCCAAAATAACTAGAATTTAAAGAGAAAAAAAAAAAGGTCTCGGCATCAATTAAACCCTAAAAGATCCAAACTCCATCCTCACACGCAGCACAAAGCAAGGAGATACCAACAAGTGCTTCATGTCACTAGGTTAGAAACATGTCTGTGTTGGTGAAATTCAAAGCACAGAGTGTCGTTTCACATGCGCACATATCTAAGGCCACGCCTCATTTCTCACCGGCTCGTGATGAGGTTCCGTCTCTTTTCTCAAGAGAGGATCAAACTTCACTTGTCCGACTGTGAAGAGACGGTGGGAAAGATGAGAATAATTGCATGGGATGAGAAGAGCTTAAAATGGAGACCAAATGAAGAGACGTACAGTTGATTTCGGATAGGGTCTTTCCTTCCCGGGTGCTCCTGCTGGTGGAGCGGATACGATGAGGAACAGCGACTGGAGACTGGAAGCAAAGAGACGGAGGCATGCTGAGAGGCAAATATTAGCTATGGCATAGGAGTTTACATTGCATTTAATGCTGCTGCTGATTTTAAAGAAAACAAGTAATCCTTCTGTCATTTTCCTTTGGAGCGAAATTTAAAGACACAGCAGAACAACCCAATCACACATTGCAACAGACAGAGACCAAAAACACAGCAATGAGTCAATAAAAAATAAAAACATCTTCGTACGGCGGCAGCTTCAATGATTCAACCTTTTGCAGGGACTTGTAGACAATGCAGATAGAAAATTAAAAAAAAAACTTTATGCTTTCACAAATAAAACCAGACATTTAAAAAAAAAAATTATTGTAGGATCTTGACGTCCTTTTAAATTTCACATAATAGCAGAAAAAAACACAGCAAAGTCACACCGTGCTTGTAAAGCATTTGAGTTTAGAAAGCTAATAGTAAAGATAGTTCTTATCTGCTTATATACTTATCTGCTCAAATCTATAGAAAATAAATGCATTTCAGAAAATATTTAGTTATGTTTATTTCAAAATTTGCAGCCTGAAGTCTTTAAGGAGAAGGGATTAAGAGTAAATTTAGAGTAAATTTAAAATGATCCATACCCCTTTAAATGTTTTACATTAAAGCAATGCATTTGTGAATAGGGAAGAAAAATAATTAATACTTCTACGTTTTTTTCCTTAATGATACAAGGAGGAAAATGTGAGGAAGCATTTGTATTCAGATCCTTTACTCCATTAATTTAAATCTGGTTCAGTAAAAACATATTAATACAGAATCTAAACCAAATGATCCCCATCACAGCCCACCCTTTCATAGATTTTCTAGATAGATTTCTAAGATGAAGACGTTTATTGATGTTACACGCAAAAGAAAAAAAATCTTTGATGTGGCCATGATCAGTAGATAATCATAGAGAAAAGAATTAGTGAAAAATACAGAAACCATACAAACATGCATGGCCTGAAGTAGAACTTTCTCTGATTTTATGGTTTTCAATAGCCAAAACTTCAAACATTTAAAGGCAAGGTAATAAAAACTATAAAGGAACAAACCAAGTGACCAACCAGCTACTTAAAAAACTCATGTTTAACTAACCGTATGTTAAGCTAATTGTGCAACAGCATGCGTAATCCTTCAACACGTCACATGCCAGAGAAAGCCTCCATGACAAAAGCAGGAGCCAGACAGAAGGAACGGGAAATTTAGTTCTGTAGTTCTAATCCAAAGACACTTTCAAAAAAAGACAGCATCACTGCAGTCGACACAAGTACCTTCCTTCGAGCCGCAAAGCGGGGTGCGCGTCGGGCACCGGGGCTTACAGGGAGGAAATGACCTCTGTATTTAAACTATGTACAGTAGGGAGGAGGTGGAGATGGAAAAAAAATAAGAGGAAAACAGGGGAGGGAGAGAGAGTGAAAGATAGAGAGGAAAGAGTGCTAAGAGGACGTAACGACGAGGAAAGCCAAACAGGAGAGAAATAAAGCAAGAAAAGGTGAGATAAGAAATGGAAGAAGAAACAAGGGAGAGGGGATAAAAAATACAGAAGATGAGTCACAAGAACTAGGGAACGAATGTGAGGAGAAAAGATGTGACTTCTGAGGGAGAGGGAGTTAAACTGGAAAAAAAAAAAACTGAGGAGACATGAAGACATATTTTAAGAATCCAGCAGATCACAATCACTTCTCTGGCTGCTCTTATACTTGGTAGTACTTCATTTCTCCAGAAGAAGAAATCCAAGAGGGTGAAATGTTACCTCAGGCTCGGGCTCGTCGTCGTCAAAGTCGTTGAACGTGCTGTGGTCGGGATTGTTGGCTTTGTCCAGCAGCTCAATGGCAAGCGTCCGGCTGAGAGGCTGGGAGACAAACGGGTGCTGGAGGAAAGATAGGACAGAAAAACGTAAGCTCAAACACTCGATCTCCATACACACTGTTATTTCACATGTAAATTCATAAAGCAACCGGTGAAAGCAATAGCATGTTTTTTTTTGTTCATTTATTGCTATATATGGGATTATGTTTCAGCACTTAAAAAACTGGACTGGATGAAAATCTATTTCTATACAGAGCAATGAACAACGTAGAAATATGATTGTTTACCTGGAGCAGCTTCTCTGCCGTGGGCCTCTTCTTTGGGTTCTTTGTCAAAGCTAACTTCACAAAATGATGGAAGTTATTTGTCCTGTTTTTCAAGGACAGACAGAAAAAAAAACAAAAAAAAACAAACAAAGAGTCAATCTTCTGACCCCTTAAATGATTAACGGTGCAGCATTTATGAAACGTGCCAGCAGCCACTTTGATAAACGATAGAGAAGTCAGAGACTGGGTCAAGATGCCTCACCACTTGAGTTTATCTTTCAACTTCGGAGGCTGGAAGTTACTCTTGGTCATCAAGAAAAGAGCCCTGAGAGGAACAAGGAGAAAAACTGTTGGAACTATGCAAAAATCTGGATAAAAATGAATTAATAAAAAAGACTTATTAGGTCTTAATTTTTAAAAAGATGAATGTTCTAATAGAGAAATAATAAAATAGAAGCAGCACCTAATTAAACTGTTTGTCTCCTGAAAATAAAACAACTAAGCAGCACTCCTGGTTAAACAGCAATGGCTGCACATCAATGTGTGTAAAGCATGAGGTTATTCCAACAACTGGAACATAAATATTTAAGAGCAAGGAAGATTTGCAGCTATGAGGAAACATCAACAGTCTTTCCAGGAGCGGACGTCACTACGAGCTTGACCTTCTTCCAACAGAACGCCTCGTCTCTCCATGAAGAACGTGGAACCAGGATTTACCTTTAACTCGTTGGCATCTTTACTTTTTATTTTCTTCAACACACTTTAGATCAGTTTCATTGCTCTTTGACTGTGAAGCAGGAGGTAGATTTAATCAATCTGACATACAGAGAGTCCGTTTTTAAAAAGGAGCTAATAATAGGTTAAGATAATTCAAAGGTTCTAAATCATATATTATTCATCAAATCATTATTTTTTTTTTTATTGAAACTAAAAATAAAAAGGATAAACAATATGAGAAACAACAGTTCTTTTCAAAATTCCTTTTATAAAATAATAGAAATACAGAAATCAGATCCATTTCAATTGTTTCCATTTCCCTACAAAATTATATATTATAAAAACAGATCTTACAAAGAAAGTTTTATTTTTCATTTAATTTGAGCTCTGAGGTGAGCCTGTCCTATACCGTTTTCCCCACAGCTGGCAGAGCTAAAAAAAATAAATAAAAACTTGTTTTTGGGCCTCAATCTAAGCCTTGTCGCGGTGGCTCTGCTAGCATCACAGGATGGTACGACAAACACCAAAACTCAAATGATGTTTTAGGCTAATTGACCCATAGCTATTCAAAGCTAGCGCTCTAGGATCATCAATCCAATCATTCTCTTGCTAGAGAATTTAATAATTGCTCCTTAACTAATTTACTGTATTTCAAGGGTCAGCAGCCTTTAACATCTAAAACGCAATTTATACTTCGTTCAGCTAAACAAAGATCATTAAGATCTGCAAAATATAATTTTTAGTAAATATATTCTGTAGGAAAGCTGTTGCAATTTTAACCCGAAAATAATTTATTTGCATTTTTAGCTTTTAAAGCAGTGAAAAGATAAAAACGCTTCATTAAGAAGGATCATGGATTTTCTTCTATAGGGAAAAAAAAATGTCCTTCTGTTATGAAAAGTATTAGTTGGTACTTTATTATTTACAGCCACTATAGAGGGTCCAAAGAGCCACGGATACAGACTCCAGCTGTATGTTACATTGCATGATTCAATGTTGTTAATTGATTGATTGACTTTATTGATCTCACAGTGGAGAAGAAATCGTTACATCAGCTCAAATAGTCAATGAAGAAAAATGTGCCAAAGGAAGAAAAAAGGTGCATGGGATTTATACAGTATATACAGTGAGTCTACATATGACAGCTTTTTTTGTTTTTTTCCCCTTTTCTATCTGATGATAGAAATCAGTCAAATATAAACCAGAAAATTAAAACGTTATTAGAAGATCTTTTTTTATTCATCAACACTTTTGATCATCCTCTACAAACGCACTGCCTTACCTCATCGGGTGGAGCTCAAACATGGGGGGCTGTAGCTCAGCCAGCTCTATGGCAGTGATGCCCACCGCCCAGATATCACACAGCTGATTGTAGCCGCCCTTCCTCTCTACTGCCGCCACCTCTGGAGCCATCCTGAATCAGGAGGGAAACTCATAGGTTAATATGGAAGAATGCAGAAAAGATGTAAAATAAATGTGCTTCAAATACAGCTATTCATAGCACCACAGTTTCCTCTTTTCTTAGGATCAAAAATGAGCTAATTTAACATTTTTATGTGCAGGAAAAAAAATAATCCTCTCTCTTTGTTGACCCCCGTTGTGCATGCACAGATACCTGTATGAGACATGAAACTCACCAGTAAGGCGTTCCAATGAATGACTTTCTCTTGGCGAGAGTGGCTGTGATCTGGGCTGACACACCAAAATCAGCTAAGGAGAGAGAAACAAAAATTAGCAAAACAAAACCTGAATAGATCTATAAAAACAGAAGAGAATAATCAAATCTCACCAAGTTTGACGTAGCCGTTGTCTGTCAGGAGGATGTTGGCTCCCTGTAAGAGTCCAAAGATACCATCCATTAGTATGCAACACAAAGGACAACAAGTGGCCATGATAGGTCTATGAGAGCTGCCATTAAATCAGCTCTACAGGAAGCACCAGCTTTGACCACGCTGCGCCTGCTAAAATGTCCACTATATTCAATCAGCGACTGGTAATGTGAGGCTAATGGGGATAATTTCTGCTCAGAGTTCAGATGAATTTGCTCTTTTAGCAGCTAATCTGCACAGGAACACTTGTTAATTTATTTACCAATAGTTTAAGTTTGGAACATTTATTAATCCTGAAGGTCTCAAACCTAAGTCTGATCTTCCTAAAGGGCTCATAATCCTTGACGCACGGACATTCCATGCAGAAAATGGGCCACCCATCACAGCGTCTACAGCATTTATTATTCTTCATGCAGTTTCAGAGCCATAGTAATTTATTTCCTGGAGTTCCGCAATCTGTTGATAAGGGTGATATTTATAGCTAAATAACAGGACGTCTACATTTGCAAACCCCTGCCAGCAGGAGCTGCTGCTCGCTCGCCATGTTTTCCGCGCAGATCTGTCCGTGTGCTTACAAATTTTCCTAGGTGCTCCGTGCGAAGACTATGTCCGCACAGAGCGGAAGCCCAAAATGACGCAATTTCTCAACAGACCTCAAGCATGTATCAAGCATGAACCAAATTTAAGGAGGAGACTAACCACCTAAAATGGCTTAATACAATAACATCCTGAAATAGGCAGCACAGCACAGACAGAGTGAAGTGAAGGCAAGTGTCTTTTCTGCTTGGTTGGAATAAAACAACCATTAACAAATAAATACCATGTAGAACCAAAGGAAACATTTCGTGATAAATATGGCAATTGTAAAATATGTTTTCTTAATGGGAACATAGAACAAACTGGGTCTATAACTCACCTTGATATCTCTGTGCATTTTGCCTTTATTGTGCAGGTAGTATAAACCCTGTGGAGAGAAGTATGCATTAGCTGATGTCAATTACTCTTATTACAGTATTTCACAAGGCAAGTAAAGCAACTAATTCACTTAGGTTTCAGAATAACTTTTCCCTGTTCTGCATTCATTCATCATGAGGTTTTCATATCAGTATTTTATATTCTTCTTATTTTTGTACGTTTTGAAATCACACGTTTATTAATTGCAAGTCACAGAAGTAAAAAAAAACTGTGTTCAACTTGTTTACAACCAGTTTTAGCTGCTGTCACTGATGTAGCTTCTCTGGCATTTTTGGTCGTTGAATTAATTAGTATTCCTCTTTCATTACAAGATGTTTGCTTTCATTTGATTTTCAGAGTAAAGGAGGAAAAAGACCAACCGGGGAAATCATTCTTAAAAACTGGCAAAATAAATAGAACAACTTAAGAGCAATAAATGTGCCAAAAAATGTATTTGAAATTGGTACACTCTGTCTTCATTAATCAAATACGGAAAACATTTTTTAAAGTTTTGAATGGACAGTAATTTATTAGGGGTGGAACGGATCACAAAATCCACCGTTCGGTTCGGTTCATGGTTTCGTGGTCACGGTTTTCTGTTCGGTATATGTTGATTGTTAGGAAAATCTATTATGTCTTGTATAGTATAACACGTGTTGCACAATGCTTGCACACTGTTGCACTTCTATCCACTACTTTCTTTCCGCCGTCATCGTAGGTCACTCTAAATGTAAAGTGGTCCCATACAGCAGACCTATAAAGTGCTGCTGGCGCGTCTTCCAACTCCTGTTCTTTCCCACTCGCCATACCCACACAAAACTCCACAAGAACTGATTTTTTTCCTTTACACCCGGCTACGCTGCTTCGCTTCTTCTTCTTGTTTACTACTGGTGTTTACTCTGGAGTGTACACGCTTTGCCTATGAGAAAAAGGAGCGCATGAACCGAACGCAACACACGCAAACCGAACCGAGACAGTCGAACCGAGACAGTCGAACCAAAAGGTTTTTTTTTTTTTATCATGTTAAATAAAAACAAAGAGGTAAAAAACATAATTCTTTTTTTGGTTTGCACCATTTTTCTGTTCCATTTGTTTTTCTTATGTCTGCATGTTTTGGAGATTGCTTCAGACGTTTTTTGCAGCTTGTTTCCTTATATGTTGTGCATTTGCAGCTATCAGCTACTGTACAAAAGGGTGGAGAAATAAAATATAGAAAATTTGTTAATATCACTCGCCATAGATCCATCCATAGATCTAATATGCTGAAGTCCTATTAAATACAGAGCATGAACACTTGGTAAAGTTAAGCAATCGCTTTACCCATCTGGGGTTCTTTATGTCTGTAGTGTGGAAAATGTAAACATTACCTGCAGCGTCTCCCGTGACATATAGGCTATCTGCGACTCAGACAGAGGACCAGTTACTGCAGGAAAAAGAAGACAAGAAGACACAGGGAAAAGATTTACAAACATTAAAATATGTAGTAAAATAAATAAGACTGGAGGATTTCTGTTTTCCTGTGTTCTTACCATGATAGATATCTTGTAGCGAACCTCCTCCACAATACTCCATGCTGATCCATAATTTATCCCTTCTAAATAAGCAGAGAACAAAAAACAACTCACAGTTAAACTTTGAAGCTTTCTCTACATCTCCCATCATCCGATTACCCATTCTTGGTGTAAACATGAAGATTCGACACAATTCCCACAACTCGTCAAACGCTATAGCTAACTATCGCACATTAAAAACACATATTCACACTCTTACCGGAGATAGCTGCCAAAATAGGCAACGATGTTAGAGTGTTTACAGTCCTTCATCATTAGGATCTCCTGCTGGACGACAGCAAAGTCCTCACCTACAGTCAACATGTACACACATGCATCATTACGGCAATAATTAACAGCCTTTGTAAAGCAATTGCTGCAAGCAGTTGTTTAATATCACAGAATATGAATATAAGAGAAGAATAGAAGTGGATATAAAGGGAAATAGGATGAAAACTGAGGATCTTAGAAGGACAGAAAAAGTAGATAAAAAAAGAGCATCCAATATAGGGACAAAAAAGGAAACAAACAGAGACAAAGATGAGGTAACGCACCCGGTTCCAGTTTGATGACTTTGATAGCAGCCAGCTCCCCTGTGTTTACATTACGAGCCTAAAAGAATGAAAAGAAGGGAATTGATTAGTGGTTTAAAGCACAGAGGGAAAACTTAATAGCACTGACTGTGGAACGTCAAGGAGAAACCTGGATGGACTGAGAGTCAGAGAACAGAAAGCCTCTGTTTGGCGCCTTTATCAGCGACACAGACATTACTATGGAAATCACTTTCAAATATCTTGTCATTGCAATCAGCTGATGCCACGAATCCCATTTTAATCAGACTTGGGCTCCATCCAGGAGCAAAAATCCCAGCAGTTTCTTTTTTAATCGATGCCTGTTCGTATACTGCATTATTTAAACTTATCAATTAGAAATTAAATGGAAGGAAAAAGTTGTTTTTTTGCGTTTGTTCGCAGTAGAAACCTCTAAGAATCAGTTGCTGAAGAGCTGAGTTTTAAACCAGGGGCACATTTGGTTAGAGAATCAAGAAATAAAAACAAACACTAAATCTCATCAGCTGGCACAGCAATGCAGCAAAAGTATATTACTATACTGCTTAGAAAAGAATACCTTCTAGGTTTTAAATGAGTACAATAAACTGGAAACGAAACTGAGTATTAAGGAAGCATCCATAAAAAAGAGCTGCAGCACACAAAGCAGAATAGAAGGTTCTTTCATGGCCGTGCAAACACATTAATACCACAGCTACCAAAGACAATAAATGAAATCCCATCAGGTTCTGCAAACAGACCGCCTCATTAGATCCAGACGGTTTGAAGAAAAGAAACTTCTAAAATAAATGAAAGCCAAATCCCTCTTTTCCATCACTAATTTAGCCTTTGTTTTAGAGCAGTGTACACCGTTTACGCCGATGGCCCTTTCACTGTGTAAACTTTACGTCTGGACTTAATAGAAATGATTAATGAACGGTCATGGCAGGAGGGTGTGAAAAGATACGGAAACAGGATTGGCAGGTCAAATCTTTTTCAAACTCCATTTTTAAGGCCATTTTTTTTTCCTTAGTAATTATTTATGACGGTGATCCTCCTTTAGTAAAAATGTAACAGGATGCTTACAGAATTACCAGGAATATTTAGGTATTAGCAAAATGTGTTTTGGAGCCAAGGGCAATAAAATTCCCACATAACTTCTTCCCATCCAACTACAACACATTCAGATTGTATGTCAGAGTGTGTGTGTGTGCATGGCTTTTTCCTCTTTTTTTCACCCCCTTTTCCTGAAAAGTGGAAAAAAAAAAACATAGGAAAAAAGAGAACAGAATACAGAGAGAGGGTTTTCTATAAATAGAGAACAGAGCTTATATTTAGCAGCAGTACCAGCATAGCAGGAAAGGAATTGTAGATAAAGCATAAATAAAAGATGAGCTTTCAGGATAGACATGGACAGCCTGTTTCTTTGAGTTGGGAGTATGTAAGCGTGACTGTGGGAGACATGGCAGAAACGCCTATGAGCAAATGAGAGCGCCATGAGCTAATGAAGTCAAGAAGGTGTGAGAAAATGGTCCCAACAGCCTGAGAGCAATGGGTCGTGTCTTTGACAGCGTTCGCTGGATCTGTTTCTCCCTAACATCAACCCCGTTTCTGGCTCCTTTATTAGTTACCGACTTTGAGCTGGATTTAAAAGTGACTGGATGTCTAGACTTGCAGTAGCTGCTCTCAGTTACCTCATGATGGTTTAGCTGTTAACTTCATAAATAAAGGGTTCTGACCCCAAATCCCTCTTGTGCAGGACAGCATAAGACCCAGCCGGCCTTATTTATTACACAGGAGGAAGGGTCAGAAAATAAAAACTGATTCTTAATAGCTTTTAAGGCATCAATACAGTCAAACTACATCGATATGCATTAGTACATTTCTTTTACAATCATTTCTTTTCTTGCAAACTTAAAACATAAATCATATTCATACGATTTGATTGGGAAAGTGCTTGTTACTAAGGGAAAAAAAACCCAAACACAAATAAAAGAAAACAGTAGCTGGGACAATATATTTTTTACCATAACAACTAAAGCTTTTCCCAAACATAATTTCAACCTTAATATTCAGTGTCAGCAAAGTGGAAGAAATCTGACAGAAACAAAAGTTTTAAAGTTTGTCAAAAAATCTTTTTGGGTTTTTTTTTAAAGCCACCATATTGATGTTTCTGCTCCCTGTGCGAGGATCATCAGCAGAGGTAAGATCTGCCTACAATGAACACCTTTCAGAGCTGTTAGAGCCAAGTCAGGCATTCCTTATTTGATGAATCTGCTGGTGATTAAGTTTAGTGTTGCTTCATAATAGCTCTCTAGGATCCTTTTAACCCAGTAAGGAAACAGACCGTCCTCCTGCAGAAGCTCAGAATATTAATAATACAGCAGTGGTGTCCTGAACATCATCATCGCTGATGACAGAGCTCAGTGGAAAGAGAATAAAATATTGTTGTAAATCCAGCTAACGCTGATATGAAATATATTGTGTTCCTTTAGGTACCCTCATGCAGCACTAGATTCACAGAAGGAGTTTTTTCAGATAACATTTAAAGAGCTTAAAATGTCAGATTATAACTTTTTCATCAATATGGCTTATTTTTAAAAAAAAAAAACATTTAGGGTGGTGCAGAATGAAAGTATTAATTCTAATGACAAAATCTGTATATAGAAATGAATCATTCCTTTATGAATTACGTTGGGTCCAAAATATATGAATATTTACTTCTGACTATAAGGCATGAAAGGGAAGGCTAAAGTCATGTCAAATGGAGCTCAGATGTTGCCAGATTATAATATGGACTGTACTTATATAGGGCTAGCTCTGTGATAGACCTGAGAAACTGCTTTTTCTCAGCGTTACATTTCTGATGCTACATTCAGACCGCATGCGCTAGAGGCTCCAGACACAGCTAGTTTACATGCAAAGTCAATAATTGGCGCGCATCGACGCGCAGCAAAGGGTCCTGCAGCGCGTCTGAACATCTGAGGCGAGGGACGAGTTTCAGAGTAGCAGTAGCAGCTGCTGGAGTTGGAAAAAATTGAACTTTTGTTGCTTGACGCGCCACGTCAACCAATCAGAGAAGCTGATCTGGAATCTGGCAGGGAGACTTCTGATGCATTCGAAACCTGTCGGCAAAATGGGTTTGCTTTTATTATTCTGGTGCCTGCAGTTTGGATTAAGTACATGAAAATGTCCTTCAAGCCGCCACTAACATTAGCAGAAAACCCCGAAAAGGCAACGCAGCAAGAGGCTGCTGCTGAAGGGGATTTCCAGAGACGGAGCCGACGGCAAAATAATATTTGAAGGCAGGATCGTAATCTTGATGAACTGACTGCACAGATGAAGTTTTCAGGTGGACTTTCTCACTTTAAAATGGAGGTCTTCAACAGGGGGTCCGCGACCCCTAGGGGGTCCACAGAGGTACTGCATGGGGGTTGCGAAAGTTTTGGTTGATTAGACTTTTTTATATATTCCCCCCTGCAATTTTTTCATTAATTGAAATGTCTTTAAATCCACATTAAGATGAATTCAACACACTGAAGTAAACAGATAAATGGAGGCAGAAGATGTCTTTCAGTCATCAATGCACACATTCAGTGACACAGCTCTTTCAAGCTGGACACCATTTCATTCACAACACCTGTCCCATCAAGCAGGAATCAGAATCAGAAATACTTTAATAACCCCAGGGAGTAATTATTTTGTTAAATCACTCCATCTGTAATAGCGTGACTATAGGAGCAGTTTGATATAACACAATTTCATACAATATCTATAATTAGGGGGTCCCCGCTCCATCTTGCCATCAGTTTGGGGGTCCTTGGCCAGGAAAATGTTGAAGACCCCTGCTTTAAAACATATTAAAACTACTTTTTACCCACTGATCATATCAAATAGAGCAAAGCCGCTCTCTGTACTCTACTGGACGTGCTACAGGAGCATCAAAGCTGTTCTTGACTCGCGTCCGACCCCAATATGAACAAGCAAAATAAATGAAGCAACAGAAGTTTTTTTGCTGCTTCCAGCGCTTATTGCCTGATAAAATTGAAAAAGCAAATAAAAAGCAAAATGAGAGTCAACAAGCTTTTAAGCGTTGGTTTCATCTTGAGGAGGAAAAGGGGCTCAGAAATAGATCTGGACAAAAAATTTAAAAAATGAAATGTTTGCAGATTGTTATCAAAATTTAGCATTACAATTGGTGGACCGGACAATTAGCAGGCAAAGAGTAGAATTAAAGGTTGGAACAAGAGCGGGTGAGTGTTCCATTTACTGGCTGGGAGGAGTAAAGTTTTAAATTTCAATATTTAACTTTATGGGCTCTATGCACAGATCCACTACTTCCCAAACTTGAGGCAGCTCTTCTGTTTCCTTTCATTGTTGGATGAACTGAATAATCCAGGTGTGCCTGACCTCCGTCACCACGGTCAAACACACATGGATTAATCAGTTCGTCCAGTAATGAAAGGAAACAGAAGAGCTGCCTCAAGTTCGGGAAGTAGTGGAGCTGTGCGTAGAGCCAATTCCAGCCCATTTCGTCTTTTTCTCCTCCCCTATTAAACAAGTAAAATCTGGTATACTTAAACTGAGCAAAGCTTATTTTAAGATAAATAAGTCTACTTTTAAAACACAGATGATGAAAAAAAAAAATCTAATTTGTGGAAATATAAAGGAGTCCTGGGCTCTATATTTTGATTTTGTTGCCACACAAAGAAAAACAAATCAAATTTTTTTTTTTTTTTCCAGTGACAATTTAAACCAAGTAAATGGTGCCATGGTGATAGACGAAGCAATGAAGGAGCAGGTGTAATAACTTAAGACATAATCAGATGTATTTGAATAGAAAATAGAGACATATTTAGGAGTTTTAAAGCCCAAAACTCAGATTTACAAAATCCATTCAAGACATTGCAGAAACCCTGTGACGCAAATCGAGCAGTTTTAGTGATGACAACAGACGTGGTTTTAAGGAAAACTGGAACAAAAACTAAACCAGTGACCAACCCACATCACCAGAACAAAAAAGGCAAACTTTAAAACATGACGACACACTGATTTCTGAGGCTG